CCAAGCGTTGCGCAAGGCGGGCATGGCGGTGCGCCTTCCGAGCAAGCGCCGGTTTCCATACAGCGCCCAGCTCGACCACGTACGAATAGCTTGTCCTGTCGATGCTGAGAACGCATGCAGTGCTTTTCACCGCCGCTGCCAAGCGATATCCTCGTGGACTTTTCCGTGCACCAGGCGCGCGTGGTCGACCCAACATGTCGTCTTGACGACGCTAATGCGGTCCTTAGCTGGTTGAAGCGTTCGTCGTCGCGCCGTCGACCAAGCCCGTGGACGAGCTTCTCTCGAGCAGCGCGAAAAAGGAGTTTGTCGGTCAAGTCACGTACGCACCCCATGCAACTCGCGGTGTGACGCGTCTGCGTAGGCTCTTTCGCGGCCAATCGGTCGAGATTATGCGCCAAACAAGCGTGTGGCTGGACCTTCCGGGCTTGGAAGACTTGCTTGTGGTGCTCGACGACCAAGTCTCGCGGGTTACGGCGCTTCGCAACAAGGCCGACGCGCTTCTCCAGTGCGTCCCCAACGTTCTCCAGTGCACGTAACGACGCAGTGCAAGCTCTATTCTTTCGAGTGGGCAAATATACACTTGTCACCGAACCGGCAGGTGCCCGCTACGAATTGATTGCAGATCTTGGTCGCGCTCGTCTTGGCGCTGTGCTCAAACGAGCACTTGTCGCCGTACGAGCACTTGCCGCGCAGAAAGTCGTAGCAAACGCGCGGGCCTTGGACGACGAACTTGTCCTTCTTTGTGCGCACGCGCATGAGGTGCCACTTGCCAAGCTTGTGCTCGGCGAGCTGGTCGGCGCTCGTAAACTCCTTGACGCAAAGCTTGCACTTGAAGCCGACTTGGCCACACTCTTCGAGGTGCGCAGTCGTTTTCTTGTGCGCCAAGAAGTCGTCGAGGTCGGCGCCGATAAAGCCACAGGGCTTGCACGCAAACGGAACCTTGCCCACGATCTTGACCTTGGCCGGCGCCGCCGTCTTGGGCTTCTTGTGCGTGGCAACCTTGTTCGATTGGCAAGAGACCTTGGGCAAGAGCTCTTCCGGGAGCGATGGGACAACGTCATTCTGGTACTCGGACAGATTCACGACGGCGGCCGGCGCCTCGTCGCCGCTCTCGTCGTCATCGCTCGAGCTATCGGAGTCGTCGTCGGAGCTCGAGCCGAGGTCGGCCTCCAGCGCCTTGATCTGCGCTTCGAGGTCATCTTCCTCGGCCTTGGGTGCGGCAATGATCGCATCGGCCGACTGCTGCAGCCGCTTGGCCATCGGCAGCAACGCGGCCGCCTCGCGCTCGCGCGTCCGTTTGCCCATCCTTTCGATTTTGATCGCATTTTGGCCAATCAGTTTCGTGCAGCCGTTTTAGCCAATCCTCGCGCTTGCTAGCGCACGACTTCCCATTCGCCAATATCGAGGAGGTCGGCCCAATCCGACGCGCGACTGAACGCACGCAACTGACCGCTAAGGTTACGGTGCCATCCCCTGCGAAAGGACGAGGTCGCACCCTCGCGTGCGTTCGATCGCTGAACCCATCGCCCTCCTGGCGCTATCAACGTGCGACCATAGGCCATGACGCTGCAGCTATCATCGAGCGCGACCGATCGCTCTGCCAAGTAAAATTTGCCGCCGACTGTCCCCTGCACACCTTTATTCTTTCACCAGAAGCAGACGCTTAATGAGACTGGGCTGGGTCCGGCCGCTTGAGATTCGGGGACTGACGGGGGCGCGTCGTCCGTCGACGCGCGGCACTGCATACTGTGGGAGGCCGCGGTGGCAAGCGCCAAGTTGCGTGCACATAGACTATGGGAGTGACACGCGCCACCTGGCAACACACATTCCTGCGAGTTGAATTTGATGTCCCATTTGCACAAAAGCGAGAAAGGACGACAAGGATGACGCGGGTCGCGTACACGGCGCTCTTCTTCGTGAACGCAATTCTAGCGACGGCCTTGCGGGCCTTTGGCGACGGTGGCCTCGTCGCCATGCGTCGGTCATGCGCTCATGCACGGGTGCGTAGGCTTCCTCAAGCACGTGTGGTCCATCGACGGCTGCGACGACCCGGCCGACGTGCACTGCGTCGGCAACCAAGCCGTGTATCGGTACGAGCGCTACCATGTTGCGCCACCTTGATCGATGCAACGCAGGACGAGCTTTGCCATCTGCTGCTTCTTCGCCTTGATGGTTCTCTTGAGCGCGCTCTCGGAGCGAGGGCATGCCAACTGCTGCTGCCTCTGGTGCTTCCAGCTCCCGTGCTACGGCGCGCTGGTCGTCATCTCCTTTCTTATTCCAAGCGGTCCGTTGCGGTATTGAAATGTGGTCTCAGCGTTGCGATAGCGTTCTTTGAGGGCTATGCGTGGCTGGCGCGTGTCACATCGGTCTTCTTCCTCGTCCTCCAGATCGTCATTATCATCGACTTTATGTGTACATCCTGCCTCTGCGATGTACACTTTGACGCTTGAATGTAGACAATGTGCGCGACTACCTCATTGACCGCATCGACGCGGCCGAAGCCGACGCCGAGTCGACCGCGTCGCTCCTCGGCACCTCATTACCGCCCGCGAATCGCAGCTGGATCTGGAAGGGCATCTACTTGGCCATTGTGCTTGTGTGTCTCGGTGGCGCGCTCACTGGCATTGCCCTCATGGTACACCCCCTTGCGCCCTACACTATCGCTGATTCGATGGTAGTACCAGTACTATGGCGACTGCGCGATTGGCTCGTCGTTTACAACGGTCACGCTCGTGGCAATTCTGGTTGCGACCGGCATTAGCAGTACGTCCACCATCCTTCTACGATAGCTCATGCGGTGGCATTATAGTCACCGAGTGGGCGGGCACAGGCTTGATGCCGCCGTCGATCGTGGCCGCCTACGCCGTCTTTCTCTGCTACCAAGCGCTCGCGTCCAACCCGAACGCGCTCGTACTGACGCACGGAATCGATATGGGCGCTGATGCCGCTTTGGGATAGTGCAACCCGTTCTCGCTTGTCGAAGCTCACGCGCACACCAACACGATCGCGTCGGCGCTGCTCGGTGCCGCCACGATCACGTGGACAAGGTAGCCAGCATAGTCTCGACGTGGTGGTTGGACGTACTCCTGTAGCTGGTCGACGTCGTCGTCGGCGTCATCGGCGCTGCAAATGCACCGAACGGACGAGGTATGGATACGCTGTTTCGACAGCGACAGAGACTGTACATGCTGTAGTCGGACTTGGAGCTGGCGAAGAAAGCTACCGCCTCGGACGCCGACACGCCGAGTTGGCAGTTCCATCTCGTTATGGTCTTTGGTGGGCTCTACATGGCCATGGTCCTCACGCAATGGGGCTCGTCGCATGGGTACGCTTGCAGTGAATGTGCGGGATGTGCCAGCCTTGTTGTAGGCAAGAGCAAGGGGCCGTCAATATGTGGGTGCAGATCGTGTCCCAGTGGATGGTGCTGCTCCTCTATGTGTGGACGCTCGTGGCGCCTCGGCTCTTCCCCGACCGTGACTTTAGCATCTAAGAAAACACATGCAAATGACCTATTATGCGCAATAACCCGCTACATGCTAGCCGAGATATGGCGACAGAAGGGATGCGAGACGCTCGGTCGAGATGGTGCCTTGGAGCTGCTTGAAGACGTGGACGAGACTCTCGACTTGGGCGCCGCCCTTGTACACCATGAAGATCGGCAAGTCGCTCGCGTCAAAAGTCGCATCGGCCTGCTTGGCGTCGACGACGAGAAACTGCGTGTGGACGTACGCCAGGCAAAGCTGCTCGAGGCAGTGGTTGATCGCCACGCACACTTGGTTGCGCTATGCATGCTTGCAATGCGCGTTGCGAGAGGAGGAGGATGGAGGGTTGTACCTCGTCGCACATGTGGACGATGACGTGCACGCGGGCGTCGGCGGCGTCAACGGTATCGACAAAGCCAAACGGGTCCGAGTACTGCAGGGTACCAAAGGCAGGCCGCCTACGCTGCAGCATCAAGCACGACCGTTCCTACGCGTTGTGACCGCACCCGTCCCGCTCGGCCATCGTCATCTCGAGCATGCGCTTGGCGCAATATTCCTTCATCATTTCGTCGTCGCTCAAGTCGCTCAAGTCGGCGTCCGAGTCGTTGTCGCTCAATCCTGTCGGGTTGTTGGCTGCGACGGCCGGCACTGTGTGGCCCTTGGCGATACGGTTCATCACCGCCGTGCGCACCGCCTCGTTCTGCCGGCGCTCGGCGGCCTTGGCTTGCTTGTACGCTCTGTAGTCGGTCAAGACGCCCTTTGGTCCCGTGTGCGTAGCAGGCGTGAAGGTTCGGCGCTTGCCTTGCCGCGCGTACTTGGCTTGGGACCACGGCCCCGTCGGGTCGGCAGCGGAGGCGGGCAGCGATGGCTCTTCGTCGCTACGTCCAGGCCTATTGCCTCGACCTTGCATGTGCCATGGTGTACCTCGCTTCCGAGTCCGAGTTGACCTTGCCGCCGAGCTCGTCTGCGTCGCGGTCCTTGTAGACGTCATGGCGCAGGAAGAAGTCGTCCATAGAGGAAGCTTTTTCGAAACTTCACGCGGTCGCGTATCCTCCGGTATTTTATCCGGACTGCGCGATCCACGGCGAAGGGTCGTTCGTCCGATCGCAGGAAGGGGCGCGGCTGACGGCGTCGCGGGGGCTGGGCCCACTTCGCCCATCGCCCGTCGCTCCCAGCTTCCAGCTGGCGGATGGACCTTGACCGACCGCCCATGGTCAGCAGCCGTCATCCAGGCGTGGATCGATCGACGAGGGTCATGAGGAAGTCGAGGCAACATGGAATATGGGCATCTCGTTGTCCTTTTTATATGGTCTTTTGCAAAACTAGAGGAGATGCTAGATATCGATCCATAATGGTCCACGTCGTGGTGCATTCTCCTAAGTACTTAGCCCTTCCCTGACTGCTTCATCAACCACTGGATGACCTGGTCGATATTTACGAGGCGCAGCGCCGAGATCGGGATGACGAGCCACGGGTTGTCGACAATGTAGTCGAGGTTGAGCTCGCGAATGAGCTCGGGCTCCGAGATATGCGGCTCCAAGTCGATCTTGTTGGCAAGCACGAGCAGCGGCGTCGTCGCCAGCTCGCGATCTTCCAAGAGGCGGTGCAGCTCTTTGCGCGCAAGCGAGATTTGGTCAAACTAGTGCCATCATGAGCCATCAAGATGGGTTGATGGAAGAGGAAGCGTACCGCGTTGGCGTCGACGACGTAAATAATGACATCGCAGCCGCGGGTGTACCGGCCCCACTCGCTTCGGTACTGCGCTTGGCCGCCAATGTCCCAGCATTTCATTTGCACGCCGCCCTTCTTGACGAGCTTGACGTTGAGACCGATCGTCGGACACGTCTCGACCGGGTGGCCCATGGCCATGACGTTGAGCAGCGTCGTCTTGCCACTACAGACGCATGTGACGACCCGCTCTTCGCATGGCATGCATGCACGCGTACCTGTTCTCGAGGCCGACGAGGACGACTTCGAGCTTCTTCGTGTAGAAGGCTTGGAGCATGCGCTGCAGGATTCCCCCCATGCTGCGTCCGACTTCGCCTTCCGACTTTTGACTATGAGTTTGAGGTCGGCCATTGACACTGCGTCCATCAGTTCTGAGAGGTTCTCGCTATATAGAAACGGCCAGTGGCTTCGGAATATCGAAACGCCAGAGGTTTTCTATCCTTCTCCAGTTGGAGCCACAGTAGTCAGTTGTGGGGTGCGTGCAAATCCACTTGGAATTTGTATGCGACGCGTGCGAGACACTTCCCACGTGATAAACCACACGCGTCATTGACGGGGAAAATGATATGCTGCAGCTGCGCCTTGTTTTATTTTCGACGCTTCTTACAAAAGACAAGATAGTAGGTAGGATCGCGTGCATTTAATTGGCGTCGCCCTTCTCTTCGCTGGAATGGGCTACGTTTTTCACGGTGGGAAATACCGTGTGAAAGTGCGACCAAGCTTGGAGTGATGGTCAGTCAGGGGCCGTCCGCTGATTTCGCGCCTTTTTCTCGTGCCCATGCGTGGATACTGGCAAGCAAGCAGCGACTTCGCTGGTCCCATCGAGTAGACTTGGCGTTGATCATTTGACTGTTGCCATCTGCATCAACCATAGAGTCGTGTGACATGGCTAAGATCTAAATGCAATTTGGACGTTGCCCGCCAGGCATGAATCAATGGTGACCACGCCGGTCCAACAAAGCAAGTCACGCCATCCCCACGTTTCTGACTTCAACGTGCACTTCTCAGATGCCGGAATTCCAAGACTGCAAACAGCGGTCTACACTCGATGTATTCGCGTTGCTTGTGCGTCCTACGACTGGTATAGCGCGCAGACGCCGTTGGCCAGCGACGGTGCCATGGACACGATGCGACTTCGGGCATACGTCTCGTTTTGATGACATACTAACGTTAGTAGATGCCTTGACTCCATCATTATGATCTCCAGCTTTACTCACGCCACGGCGCAGCATTGACGCGACTCTTACGAAAAGTACAAAATTAGTGGTTCTCAAGCGACACTGGCAGACGTTATCGCCCCATATCACCTTGCACTGTTTTTGAGGAATACTGTGGCATCCGTCAACCTACTTCACCATCAATTCACAAGGCTGCAACACGATAAGAACTAGGATATCTTAGTGCCTTTCCATTTCGAAGACCCTTCGTTGTCCAAGTGTCGGAAACAAAAGTTAAAAGATCGAGTCGCATGGCTGTCATGTAACACCCACCACTTGCCTGTGCAATTTGTCGCGACTACATTCCTGCAAGGACCCATAGAACCAACTTTGTGTTGCTACCACTGTCGTGTCTTGTTAGGAGGCGGACGTCGTAACCCCTGGCGTTAAAACCACCGCCGATAACGGTTTCCATGAACAAGTACGAGGTGCTCGGCATCGTCGGCGAAGGCGCGTACGGCGTCGTGCTCAAATGCCGCAATAAGGAGACGGGTGAGATCGTCGCCATCAAAAAGTTCAAGGAGAGCGAAGAGGACGAGACGGTTCGGAAGACGACGCTGCGCGAAGTCAAAGTGCTCAAGATGCTCAAGCAAGACAACATCGTCAACCTCAAAGAAGCGTTCCGGCGAAAAGGCAAGCTCTACCTCGTGTTCGAGTACGTCGAGAAGAACTTGCTCGAAGTCCTCGAAGAAAAGCCCGCGGGCCTCGACCACGAGCTCGTCCGGCGCTACGTCTACCAGCTCAGCCGCGCGATCGCCTACTGCCACGAAAATGGCGTCGTCCATCGCGACATCAAGCCCGAGAACCTTCTCGTCAACTCGGACCACTCCCTGCGGCTCTGCGACTTTGGATTTGCGCGGCTTGTGGCCGACTCACACTCGATGGAGCTCACCGACTACGTCGCGACGCGCTGGTACCGGTCACCCGAACTGCTTCTTGGATCAACCAAGTATGGGAAGAGCGTCGACATTTGGGCCATTGGATGTATCATGGGCGAGCTCCTCGACGGCCAGCCGCTCTTTCCTGGCGAGTCGGAGATCGACCAACTCTACATGATTCAGAAAATGCTGGGGCCGCTCACGCCCGACCACATGGAGCTCTTCCTCTCCAACCCACGGTTTGCGGGCTTGAAGTTCCCTGATATGACGCGCCCAGATACGCTGCAAAAGCGATTTGTGGGCAAAGTGCCGAAGCGCGCGATGGCTTTTCTCAAAGGCACGGTGCAGTTGGGACCGGACGAACGCATGACAGCCGCCGAGTGCGTCGCACACCCGTACTTTGAAGGCCTCGAGAAGGACACCCTTGGCGGCGAGGGCAACCAGGCCATGACACCACCGCCGACCAAGCCCCTTTTTCGGCTCGACGAAAGCACGAGCGGCATCCTCTGCGACGAGCCCAAGCCGCGCAAGGACAGCCCGGATAATGGCATCAATAGCACCAAGAAACCACAGAAGAAGAAGACAACGTCGTCCACCACAACCAAAGAAAACCAGCGGCTGCGCGATGAGAAGGATGGGCGAACACGAGCTGCCGAGTATGGCACGCTGCCCGTCGAGATGGAGCTGGACACGCCGCTCGCCCCGCGAGACACTGGTGTATCGTCAAGTAAGAAGAAGAGCAGTGCGAGCAGGTCGAGCAAATCGGTCAAGGCAGACGAGAAGGCCCCTCCGTCGACGCCCAAGACGCTGGCGGGAAGCAGCAGCACAGGAAGCACACGGAAAAAGAAGACAGCGGCGCCGAAAAGCGAGGCCAAGGCCGACATCAAGCGCGAGTCCAAGACCAGCAGCAACAAGGAGAGCGAGTCATCATCACGGCGAACGTCGGTGCGGCAGGTCGACGACGCCAAACGGAGTCGGAAAGACGCCGACACCGTGCGATGTAAGCAGCTTCCACAACTCACGATGGATGTCGATGGTGAGAGCGACGTCGTGCTGTTACCGCGCAGTGTCAAGTCGAATGGTCTCCAGCCACTGCGCATGCTGGCGTCCGACCCCAAGCAGTATTATGACAGTAGTGACGAGTACAAAGCATAGCCCATTATGGCTCTAGCCACCACATACGACGGCAGCGGTGCGTCTGTACAAATATACTTATGCCACGGCACCCCATCGACGACCGCCTCTCTGTGCGCGATCGACGATACTTGGCGTCGCGTGTCGTGGCCATGTCCCAAGATACCAGTGCCGATGCCATGTTCGGGCATGGCACCGATGCAGCTCGCACGCGCAGCGAAGCTGTTGCATCAGCGCACGGTACCGAGAAGGGTGCACCGACCCGGCTACGTGGCACGTGCAACAAAGCGCAGCACAGGACGGGTGTGACCATCGAGCCGGAGGTGGCACCGGGGCATGGACGCTGCAAGTGCATGCTACAGGACGCGTCTTCGAGGCCTTATAGGAGCGATCGCAGCACCAGATGCGGTACCTTCCTTCAAGCAGCATGGAGCATGTTGTCTCGACGGCTACCCCGGCGCAGCCCCCCCGGCGCTCCTATCGCGATCTTGGCCGCTGCGTCGGTATAGAAAACACTCAACTGCTGTTTGAAACACCTTGGTTGAAGTGATTTTGCACTGTCGGCTTGTAGTGGCTGGGGATCGGTTTTTATAAAGACCAAATACATACATAAAATAGGATATTGCTTGTTGTGTGTTTTAAACAGCGTTGAAAACCTGGGGCAGATTGACTGCGGTCCAGTTTTCGCATCGGGACAGAGGCAAGAGGCCGCGAGACCACGGAAGCATGTCGACGGTCCAAGTCCCCCCCACGCGCATGTACGCCCGCGCCGATCCGTCCTCGGTCGTTCTCATGTGGCCTCGCTCTCTAGGAACCTCACGGTCTACAAGGCCAAGCGCGTTGCGGCCAAGAAGGGTATGTGCCCGCCATCCATGCCCGTAGGACCTAACCCGTCGTAGGCTTTGATCTCTTGAAGAAGAAGGCCGACGCCTTGAAGATGCGCTTCCAGGCCATGCTTCGCGAGATCCAAAAGGTACTAAATGGCGCGAGCCACGGGCGTGGGCATCATCGTGTTATAGACAAAAATGACCATGTCCCAAGATGCTGCCGATGCGTTCTTCTCGCTGTCGCAGGCGCAGTACGCGGCCGGCGACTTCCGCCACAAGGTCATTGAGTCGGTGACGACGGCCGAGTTCCGCCTCGAGAACCGCATTGATAACGTGGCCGGCGTCAAGCTGCCCGTCTTCACGGACGTCGAGACGGCGCGCGAGAAGAGCGAAAACATTGGTCTCTCTGGCGGTGGCGGCAAGATCCAGAACTGCCGCGACAAGTTCCGCCACCTCCTCAAGGCGCTCGTGAAGCTTGCGTCGCTCCAGACGTCGTTCGTCACGCTCGACGAGGCGCTCAAGGTCACGAACCGCCGTGTGAACGCGCTCGACAACGTCACGATCCCGCGCATTGATAAGGTCATCGACTACATCTCGCGCGAGCTCGACGAGTTGGAGCGCGAGGACTTTGTGCGCATCAAGAAGGTCCAGGCCAACAAGATCCAGGCCGCGAAGGAGTTGGCGCTCGAGACGGAGGCGCAGGCTGCGGCCGAGGTCGCGTCGGGCGTCCCCGTCTTTACGGCGTCGGACCTCGATATCCTCGCTGCGTTCGAGCCGGCTGCGGACGCGGACGTTGTGTTTTAAACCAGTCCCGCTATTGTAATACAGACAGCGCTCTTTCGCTTGTGACTTCGTTCGTACCTCTCGCGTCTCCATGGGAAGGCGCGCGACCATGGCACGGCGCCATGGCAGTGAGCTCGGCGACGCAGCACTCTGTGCATACACCATCGTCCAAGTGGTCGGTAGCAGCGCGCACGAGATAGCATCCAACTGCTTCTATAGGTATACTGCGATGCATCCCTCACTTTCCGTCGCACCCTCCTGTCGACGCCGACGCTATGATCTGGAGGACGCCTGCCGTGCTCAAAGCTCGCAGCATGCCAAGCAGCCATCTCATGAGGTCAGGATCAGTTCTTATCGGTGCAACTGCGCGTCGTCGTCGGATATTCTTGGTTGCATCAAGAGAGATTCGCTCCAGCGTGTCAGGAACCATTGTCGCCGGGCAGCTTCAGTCGATGGTAGCGAGCTCTGCCCTGCGATTTCCATGCCCACAAAGAGTCTTCACTGCGCAGACTGCGCTGGCAGACGTGCGTACTAGTACTTGGGATGATCGGGAGCAGCACCCAGATCTGCTTGGATGCATTGCCTCTTCGATCATCTATCTTCTTGGACCAGTTAGAGATACCAAGGCGAATGGCTTTGCATCTTGGCGGCGGCTCCTCCACACAACCCGTCGACAGCGCTGCCGCGGGCCAATCGCGGCCGCTCGGCGCCTTCAACTCGACTGGCGCGATGGAATATCACCATTTGCGTCGCACGCCAACGCGCCAATCGCGTGCGTTTGTTTCGATACAACGCAATGCCATTGGTTGGACCGCAACTGCGGCGCCGAGCGAATATTTGCCCATGTGATCGGCGGCCTTTCTGGGAGCGTCAGTTCTGCTTTCGCCTCGCCGCCACCGCATCATCATGAAGGTCCCGTCGTCGCTGCCTCTCCTCGCCCTCTGCCTCGCGTCTTCGGCCGCGCTCGACCGCTCGCTCTGGGGCATCAACTACGACACGCGCACGAGCGAATGGGGCGGCTGCAAGGACCAGGCGGTCATCACCGCCGACCTCACCGCGCTCAAGACGGTCACGAACGTCGTGCGCCTCTACTCGATGAAGCAGCCGTGCGTTGACCGCGTCTTCAAGGCCGCCAAGAACCTTGGCCTCAAGGTCTGGATCGGCACGTGGTCGGAGGTTGCGTCGCCCAAGGTCCGCGACTCGTTCGACGAAGACTTCAAGGTGCTCCAGGGCCTCGTCAAGAGCGGCGCGATCACCAACCAGAACGTCGCCGGTATCCAAGTCTCGAGCGAGGCGCTCTTCCGCTACTACATCAACGGCGGCGCCGGCGTCAACGACACGGCCAACACGAACGGTGCGGACGCGATGATCGCCCATCTCAACCAGACGCGGACGTTCTTGCGCCAGAACAAGCTGGACTTTCCGGTCACGATCGCCGACGTCATGGACATCTACAACAACTACCCGAAGCTCTACGACGCCGTCGACGTCGTCTCGGTCAACCAGTTTTCGATGTGGGAAAACGTCGACGCGGCCAACGGCGCCTTCACCATGTGGCAGCACTGGCAGAAGATCGAGGCGCAGGCCCGCGCCGCCGGCAAGCCCGTGCTCATGTCCGAGACGGGTTGGAGCTCGGCCGGCAACAACACGGCCATCAAGGAGGCGTCGCCGGACGCCGAGCGCATCTTCACGCGCGACTTCCTCACGGTCGCGGAGCAGATGCAGATGAACTACTTTTACTTTGCGTCGTTCGACCTCAGCTTTGGCGACAACGTCATTGAGCGCAACTTTGGCATCTTTGACGTCGACCGCAAGTTGAAGGACCCAGTCGTCAAGGCCAACGTCGGCAAGGCGCCGATCGCGGTCCGCCTCTTCTCGGGCAACAAGGTGCTCAAGGCCGACGGGTACCTCACGAGCACGTACACGCGTCTGAGCATGGACACGCCGGCCACCGGTGCCGGCCTCGACAGCGAGATCTGGTTCTGGGACCCGACGACGAGCGTCCTTCGCTCCAAGAGCGCCAACCAGTGCTTGGACTCGTATGGCTCGAACGACTGGCAGAACGTGCACTTGTGGAACTGCGACTTCACCAACAAGAATCAAAAGTGGAAGATCGAGAACAACGCGGTCAAGACGCAGAACGGCGCCAACTTTTGCATGGACTCGGACCCGTCCATGAAGTACGACGACGGCAAGCAGAAGGTCCAGATGTGGTGGTGCTGGAACGGCCCGAACCAGAAGATCACGATGCGCCCGATTAGCGCCGAGCCGATCCAGATCAAGCTCGGCGGCAAGGCGTGGCTCTCGGCCTCCGGTGCAGCGGTCTCGACCGCCCAGACGTCGGCCAGCTGGTTCTATGACCCGATCGCGCAGACCATCTCGACCAAGGAGAAGACGTGCCTCGACCTCGCCACGTACGCGCGTGACACGCCTGTCAAGGCGACCGCCTGTGTCGCCAACAGCGCGACGCAAAAGTGGCAGTTCAACGACGTCACCGGGCAGTTCAACCACGGCACGTCACTCGCGCTCTGCCTCTCGGGCTCGTCCAAGACGGCGGACGTCGTCGCGCAGCTCTGCGACAAGTCGGACGCCAACCAAAAGTGGGCCGTCTCGATGACCAACCCGACCGCGTAAACCCATAGTATCCGAGTGTAAAGAAGACAATTATCTCCAAGCGTTGTACCTATCTTCGTTGTCAAAGCCCCCGAGTCGTCTCTTCGCACGCCACATTGGTGCTTGTAGACGGCAGAAGTAGTTATACTGGTATGTACACGTTCGGTGGGCTCTTGTTCTATGTATCGAGGCTCTTCATCCGCCAATAGATGCAGTATCTTCGACCACTATCTGCAGACAATAAAGACAATCATAAAGCGAGCTATTCTCGCAGCGGCCACGGGAATAAGAAGGAATAAGAATGGAGAGCTATGCGGCTGCCACGAGTGTGGTGTTGGTCAAAGTGTCTTAAGTTAGGAGTGCTCTTTTCGAGTCGCGGGGCGGTGAACCCACGTTGAGCTCAAGCCGACCGAGTCGAGCGCCACGGGCGGTTTTCGCCGCGGCTTGCAATGCTCGGGGAATGGAAACGCGAGCTCCTGCACGGTCACGTGGGGCGTCACAAAGTAGGCGACTTCGAGCTCGCGCCGATCGGGGTCGATGGGCTTGACCCGCGCCTGCGTCGTCGTCGTCGTCGTCGGTCGATACACGCCGCCGTTCATGAGTACGACCTTGGGCCGTGCGAGGGCTTTTTGCCACGCCGTGTTTTGCCTGATGCGATAGTTTCCCATCTATTGTCGTATTGGACACGTACGTATACTCGGCGACAGACACTTTGGGCACCGAGAGCGGCGCGTCGTGGCGATGACGATGCGACGTCGACTTGGTGGCGGGTTTGGGCGTCGAGAGGGGCTGGAGCCCTGGCTGACGCACCTTGCGCTTCTAGAATTGGTCGCACCATAAGCTTGCGAACGCGGAGAAAGCATCTCTACATGAGGCAGCGGGGCGGGGCTGCGCTCGACCAAAGGCTTGACGAGCTTGGGCGGTTTGGCCCCCAACGCGACAGCGAACGCCGTCTTTGTCGTGGACGCGGTCAAGAGTCGCGGCGGCAGCTGCTCTGGTATGGGCGACACGACTGTAGTCGTGGGCGTACTAACGACGCTCGTCGGGGGCTGCTGCTGCAAGAGAATTTGCTGGAGCTCCTGCAACAACGTCATACGCGCGTTGGACGAGAGCGAAAAGTAGAACGAAAGCATGCTCCGGACGCCGTTGACGCGCCCTTTCGCAGGCTGCTGGATGCTCTCGAGGAAGAGCTCATATTGGAGCGGACCGAGGGTGTGCAAAAACAAGAGCAGCTCCTGCCGCAAACGCTGAGCAAAGTATCGAGGCCAAGCTGTGGTACCTGCTTTTCGAGAATCCCGAGCGTCGAGAGAAAGCGGTAGAGGGACGCGCTGAGCGTAAAATGCGCGAGCCGCTCAAAGTAGGACGCGACGGGCTCGGCCGCGCTCAAGCCCGCAAGGCCCAGTGGACTCACAAACACGCGCCAAATCTCATTCGAGAGCGACCGGAGCCACTCGATCGTGTGCACGAGCGCGTCGTTGTCCATGACCAGGAGCGCGTGGAGTGTCAAGCTGCGTGCGCGGTCGTCGAGCGGCTCAAGTCGCGACTGTAGAAGCGGCGAGACGTCAAAACGCACATCGAGACGCAAAATGAGCGCCTGGATCTCGTCGTGGTGCTTCTCGACGTGGTGCTGCGTGAGCCACGCCAGCGTCACCGGTCGCAGCGTTGTCCTAGCACAGAAGAGATCGTGTATGCATTCAGACTGTATAACTATACCACTCGGCGTCCGAGGCGCCCAGTGCGTTGAGCTGGTCAAACACAAACTCGGTCGTTTGGAACCGCGTTTTGGGCTACCGACAATGTTGAACTCCATGTTGTCGATAGCAGAGTACTTGGCTCATATCGAGGTTCAAGACGGCGGCGAGGCTGCTGTCCATGTCCCAGTACCCGCTCGCTGACCGCATCGCAAGGAGAGCGCGAAACGTTGTTGCTGTCGAGCTCGTATGCACCTGGTCGATGGGCTTGAGGCACCGGGCATCTAAGGTTCTTTGAGCCTTTTGTCAGCGAGAAAAAGTCGCCGCACCAAAGTCAACGACTTCATGGACGAGCGACGAGAGGAGCGTTGCCGTCTACACAGCTCGAGTAAGAACAGTGATGCAAGACGGCGTCGTACGCTGGAAAAGTGCAGCTTGTCTCTCCACACTTCGCCCATCTAGCATGTACGATAAGGTTGAATGAGCATCCATGATGTAGATGAAGCACACTTGTCGAAGCAACGTTGAGAAGCGATCGAGGCTGATCATTGAGCGCTGCTGGGCGTCCGACGCCCACTCGTCTTTGAGGTGCGACGGCGACGGGACGCCACAGAAGCGGCTCAACACCGCGTGCAGGTGCGTGTACGTGCTCAAGTCGATCGCGTAGGCTGCCGTCGGGTTGACGCATGCGTTCCAGAGGTCGTCGATCGACGCTTGGACGATGGCGGCGAGTTGCTGCTGCTGCTCGGACAGCTGGCCTGTACAAACGGTTGGATGCCGCCTGTAGAACTCAAGTACCGATGCTTTGAAAGGTCACTTTGGGGTGCAGAACGAGGCAACGTCGGGGCGTCGAGTCTAGCTCGGGCAGCACATTCGAGTGCGGAATCTAATAAACGTGATGGCGTTTGATCGACTCTATTGTGCGTACGAGGGCCGTGCCGAAGAGCGTCGTGCGCGGGCTGGTCGCCGCCACGTCGGTCCTCGGACTAACCCACGCCATGCCATGAACAAACTACAAATAGCACATCGTGCGAAACCAGAGTCAGAGTAACTGGTGCGCGCCATTATTTTCATCGCTTTGAATTC